CTCACATTTGTAAGGTACTGTTAATGTTTTTAAATATATATATTAAATCATTTAATACATTCAACAACTTTGTGCCATAAACACAAAAGGTATATTTATGCTCATTTAACAGATTATCAAACTAGAAATCAGAGTGGTTAAGACAGGTAGCTAGTATTTGGCAGAAGGGACCTGCCTAGAAAAATTGTTACAGTCCACACAATCAGGGAAAAAGGAGCAAAGGTTGGGCAACCTAGTGAAGTTAAATGATCCTTACATGTGGAAGAGACGTCATACTCATGGCTTCATTCAGCAGAATGTTTGAGTGCTTTCAATATGCCAGGCAATGTATAAAGCACTTTAGATAGAATAATTGTGGGGAGCAGTTTTCTAAGAAAAGCTGGAGGGGAAATAAAATCATATCCTAGTAAGAAATATTATAACAGTTCCAGAGCCCGATACAAGAGTAGTCTGCACTGAAAATTACCGTCACGATAAGAAGTTATAGCTATGTGGACCAACAGAGTATCAATTTTAAAACTGATCAGTTAAATCAATTTAACAGCTTGTCAACCAATGGACAAGTCAATAGGATTTAATCATTAGACAATTTGATCAGCACTAGATATTGGGATAGATTCAAAATTGGTAGATTCAGTAAAATAAATTGATTTGGGAAGTGGATTTCCTTGAACACTGTGGTTATTTGACACATTGGGAAAGTTGATTTTAAAGGATTTCAGGATCACAAGAAGTGTAAGAGTCATAATTCCAGCTCAGCAACTCTGTGACCCCTAAAGCAGCTGATTACCTTCTTTGTAGCTCATGTGAAAGAAATAGATAATGATTTGATCGTCTTTTGAGGTTTCATGAGTCAGCAGCTAAAGTCTATTAATTCTCCCATAAATATAGCTTTAAACATTCTGCATGTTAAAAGGGAAAGGAGTGAGGCCATCTCTTGGGGTTTATCAGCCACTGTTCTACAATCGTGTTTACCCAATATTTACCTTGAAAAACAAGAAAAACACTATTTTTCATCCTTGTTTACTGTTTACTGAAGGAACTGAATCCTGAAGCAGTTCAGCTTTTAAACCAGATTGAAAATTCCTATCATGTTTCAGATCATTGTGCCTTCCCAGGTCAAGAGCAGCTTACTGTGCAAAGGTCAGTTTTACAATTTTACACGGTTTTATCCCCACCTGTACTTCACTCCTGGAGCCTTTAGAGAAAATTGCATTACTTTGAAGTTGAAGGTTGCATTCAGGCAGACAGAGTGGCTTTACTCCCTCCCTGAGTTGGAACAGATAATGGATTCTGCAGAGCAAGTGTCCAACTGACCAAGGTCATCTCACAATGAGTCAGTGTAAATATCCAAATTGCAGTTGTCGACAAACTGAGCACATGACAGCTGCGGTTGATGAGTGTCCTTTTGTCTAGCTGTCACAGTGGTCTGAGGACATGGAACAAATCAAATGAAGAAGCGTGTGCCTGCCTTAGGGGGTTATGTCTTCACTAATCCCATTGCAACCAGCAGGTTGGTATTACTTAGTGTGAATCTCTGCCCCGGTGTAGTTGGGTGATTTTGTTCCTCGGGAGCTATTAGTTCAGGGGGAAAAAAAAAATGGAAAGTGGAAAGATGAAGTCAGTTTTCTCTTGACGTTTCCAAGGGTGAATACTTGTGAAGGACAAGGAGTCACTCTCTCCTTAGAATGAGTCAATCCAAAGAACCTAGGAAGTCCTTCAGCATTGTGAACAGAGAATTACAACTTCAAGAAAAGCACAAGTAAGAAAATCTAAAGATTCTGCTCCTGGGAAAGAACAAGAATTATAACCAAGTTCTCAATATTACAATATAGTACATGGTTCTCAGCACTGCATGTTAGTTTCAATTCTAGACATTGCCTGAAAGTCAAAGTTAAAGGCATCAAAAATGTGTGAAGTGTGAATAATTAAAGTTACAAAAATGAGTTTAAGTTACTAGGATATTTAAAACATAGTTGATGAGATACAAAGAGTTTAGAAAGACTCTTGAAAGATGTAGGGCCAGGGTTCATATATTAAAATTAGTAGATAGCATTTTTTTTTTCTGATTTCATAGATTAAAAGGCTCACGTTAAATGCATTGCTCAATGTTACATCATTAAAAAGTGAACCAGTGTTAACCCAACTGTCTTCTTACTTTGCTACAGTGCCTGTCCCACTCTGAGTATCATAATGGGCCTCCAGAAAGCTCCGAAACAACAGGGCCTGCTAATTTCTCCTCCTTCCAGGGTCAATGCAGCAATAGCTGTGTGATGATGCTTGCCCTCTATGTTGAGGATAGTAGCCATATCCTTCTCTCTCTCTAAAGGTGCACTTGGCCAAAGAATATATTCTTGAGCATCTATTATGTTCCAGACACTCTTTTAGTTGCTAAAAGATGTGAAATATCCTTATCCTTCCAGGGATTTTTATACTAGCAGGGGGAGACAATCAACAAGCATCCAACAACTAAATAAATAAATCATATTAGGTTCTAATAAGTGTTAGGAAGAAAATAAAATTAGGTAATATGATAAAAAGTAACCACTACTGTGGCTACTGAAGGTAGGGTCTGAGGTAAGCAAGATTTTTCAGCCAGGCCAGTCAATGGATTCATAAGGAAGATTGATTGCTAAAGCAACAATAAAGAATACCTAAAACAGTAGGTTGAATGTTGGAATGGCAAATAATGAAACAGACACTGAAATAGTATTGCCAATATATATTACGGTTGTGGACCAATCAACCTATCCAGTGCTTCCAGTCTGGGCCAAGAAATGTGCACATGCAGAAAAAGTAGACAGCTTCCAGGTGGTGGTGATGATGGATGAGGGAGGACTTCCCTAGGCGAGAGAGAATAATGGTGGTGACGGTGCATTATTAACTCCTTACTCTGGTGACATTGTGCCTAAGTCATTTGACTGCTAACCAGAAGGCTGGTGGTTCAAACCCACCAGTCACTCCTCGGAAGGAAGTTTGGGCAATCTACTTACGTAGTGATGCTGCCTTGGAAACCCAAGGAGAGGTTGTTATGAGTTGGGACAGACTCAATGGCAGTGAGTATGATTTGTTATCCTGAAGTTATCTCATATTATCTTTGAAAAAGGCTAAATAACATTTGATACATCCAACATTTACTATGTACAGGCATTCTTCTCCACACTTTTCATGAATTAACTCATGTATGAGGACCATTGTCCACAATTTACAAATGAGAAATGGAGGCACAGATGGCTTAAGAAACTTCCTATGATAGGCCCCAGAAGATACCTAAATCCTGATCCTCAATACTTGTGAATATGCTATCTTACATGATAAAAGGGACTTTGCAGATCTTTCAGATGGGGCAATTATCCTGGATTAACTGAGTTTGCCCAAGGTAATTATGAGGATCCTTAAAAGAGTCAGAGGAGATACAATGACAGACGCAGAGATGGGAGTCATGTGGCCCAGAGCCAAGGAATGTGAGCAGCCTGTGGAAGCTGGAAAAGAGGAGAGACTTCAGAAGGAACAGCAGCTTGATTTCAGCCCACTGAAACTGGTTTCCGATTTCTGACCTCCAGAACATAACATAATAAATATGTGGTGTCTCAAACCACTAAATTTGTGGTCATTTGTTACAGCAGCAGAGGAAACTAACGCAGTTGCCCAAGGTCACAGAACTACAAAGTGGTAGGGTGGGGAATAAAATCAAGGTAACCTGGTGCCCTTGCCAGAGATTTAACTGCTGTGTGATAAGAGCCTCTCACAGGCAGAATGAAATTTCAGATTGAACACAAAATGAGAGTCTCCTGGGTTTTCCTCCTAAACTCAGAATTCCCAGGTCCCAGAGAAACTAAAAGCGGCAAGATAATAACATTTTAGCCCAGACTTGGGGATACTACCCTAGCTGTCTAACACAGCATCTAGGACATAATGGACATTCATAAATAATGATAGAATCAAACGGAAACCTTATGATAGCATGAGGAGCTATGGTGGCAGAGTGGTTAAAGCATTTGTCTGCAAACCAAAAGGTCAGCAGTTCCAAGCCACCAGATGCTCCATGGGAGAAAGATGAGGCAGTCTGTTCCAGAAAAGATTTACAGCCTTGGAAACCCTATGGAGCAGTTCTACTCTGTCCTGAGGGGTCACTATGAGTCTCCATGACGCAATGGCAGTTTGAGACCAGTGCTCTTCAAACTTTAAACTGCAAGCAAAACCCCTGGGAATCATTAAAATGCAGATTCAGAGTCAGAAGTTCCGATTTGAGTTTGAGATTGGGCGTTTCTAACAAGCTCCCTGATGATGCTGATAACTGCTAGTAAAACCAAATCCATAGTCATCCAGTCTATTCTCAGAGTGACTGTAAGGACAGAGTAGAACTGCCCCATAGGGTTTCCAAGGCTGTAAATCTTTACAGAAGCAGACTGTCCCATCTTTCTCCCGTGTAGTGGCTGGGGGGTTCCAACCTCTCCCTTTTCTGTTAGCAGCCACGTGCTTTAACCTCTGCGACTTGTTCTGTATTTTCCAACCTGCCAGAAAATGAAACCTCCCTATCCATAAACAAAATATAAGCCACACAAAATGTGCTCATTTGATAAAGTTTACAAAGAGGGCATAGAAACAAATTTCCTCCCTTTTAGGTACTCCTGCCCTCCCAAATAAAGAACCAATTAGATGCCAGGGTACAACAGAAAAGAGTTATAACAGAGCTCCGACTCCCAGATTGCGGCGCTCTGCTCCTGTCTTCCAAAGGCAGGGACAAGAGTTATTAGGGGAAGGAAGGAAGTGTCCAGGAGTTTTCCTGCCTCCGTTTTGCTCCATTTCCAGTCATTAAGGAGTATCTGCCCCCTTTGAAGCGTGGAGGTCACGGGCGTCCACACTGGAGCGCCGCGTCGCGCCCCCCTCTGCTTCTTTGCCCGGGCGGAGACGGGCCGACGCGCGTGCATGCGCGCTTGGTATAAATAGGTCCCAGGCGGCCGCCACTGGGCAGAGCCTGGCTGCGGGCGCCGCGGGCCATGGCGGGCGAGGATCACCAGTGGCAGGGCAGCATCCTCTACAACATGCTCATGAGCGCGAAGCAAACCCCCGCTGCTCCAGAGGTGCCCGACGCGCAGCTGCGGAGCCCGTGCTGGGGCTGCTCTTGCGGCGCCGAGCAGCGAGGGGGCAGAGAGAGGCTGCTGGGCGGGCGGGCCGTGGCGCTCGTGTACCGCTGCTGCTTCTGCGGTGACGACCACCCGCGCCAGGGCAGCATCCTCTACAACATGCTCACAAGCGCAAAGCAAGTGCACGCGGCTCCAGAGGCGCCCGAAGCTCGACTGGGGCGCCCTTGCTGGGGCTGCTCGTGCGGCGCCGAGCCGCCAGTGGGCAGAGAGGGGCTCCTGGGCGGGCAGGCCGTGTCATTCGTGTACCGCTGCTGCTTCTGCGGTGAAGACCACCCGCGCCAGGGCAGCATCCTCTACAGCTTGCTCACCAGCGCTAGGCAAACGCACGTGGCTCCAGAGGCGCCCGATGCGCTGCGGGGGGCCCCGTGGTGGGACCGCCCCTACGGCGCACAGAGGCCAGGGGGCAGAGAACGGCTGCCCGGCGGGCGGGCCGTGGAGTTCCTGTACCGCTGCTGCTTCTGCGGAGACAACCACCCGCACCAGGGCAGCAAGCTCTACCACCCGCCCACGAGCGCAAAGCAAACGCACCCGGCTCTGGAAGCGCCCGACGTGCAGCCGGGGACTCCATGGTGGGGCCCCTTGTGTGGCGCGCAGCGGCTGGTGGCCCTCAAGAGCCCCCAGTTGGTCTGTGAGGCGGCCTCGGCCGGCCTGTTGAAAACGCTACACTTCGTCAAGTACTTGCCCTGCTTCCAGGTGCTGCCCCTGGACCAGCAGCTGGTGCTGGTCCGCAGCTGCTGGGCGCCGCTGCTCCTGCTCGAGCTGGCCCAGGACCGCATGCACTTCGAGACGGTGGAGACCTCGGAGCCTAGCATGCTGCAGAGGATACTCACCACCAGGCGGCGGGACGCAGCGGGCGACGAGCCGCCGCTGCTGCCCATGTCGCAGCCACTGTTGGCACCGCTGCAGGAGGCCAGGCAGCTGCCCTCGGCCGCCGAGGTCCAAGCCATCAAGGGCTTCCTTGCCAAGTGCTGGAGCCTGGATATCAGTACCAAGGAGTACGCCTACCTCAAGGGGACCGTGCTTTTTAACCCGGGTAAGGACTCCGGCCTCGGGCACTGGCTTCTCCAGGCTCAGAACAGCTTTGCGCAGTGCCTACCAAGGGCTCAGGCACTAAAGAGTTTTCAGTGGTCAGGGGAGCATCAGGGCACAGGTGAAGAATCAGGACCAGTTCAGAGTTGGGGGGCTGCAGGAGCCACTCTTTGTGGATGGGGTGCTGCCAAAATTCAGCCAAGAGGAGGGTGGTTTATACTTAGCTCTCTACACTGGTTACTGGAGAAAAGTTGGTGCCTTCAAGGGGCATGGCTAGTCTTTCTCTAATTGTCTTTCAAATACAGAAGCATAGCTTTGGAAAAGTCTTTTCTCACTGCAGATTCTGCAACCCAATTCTGAAATTTGCCAAAAATCTTTGTTGGAGGAAAACTATAAAGACTGGCAAGAAAGGAAGCTTTAGTTAAGGACATATAGAGAAACTATCCCCTAGGGACACTTGACAGACAGGACACTGTCGGTTTCTAGCGTCTGCCTCCGAATGGTCATTTTCATAGTCAAAAGCATAAAGAGCCCCATCCTCCAAGTTGATTAGTGGCAGGCGAGGAAAGGAGCAAGAAGGAGACACAGGAGTGGCTGAACACTATTTTAGAACTTGAAGAGACCCTAGAGACCTACTGTTCAACTCCCTCTGCCCTCTACCCTCCTCCCTCCACCCTCCACCCCATCTTTCAGAGTAGATAGCTATATCCCAAGAGATTTTGCTCTGCCCTCTTCCCAGCACCAACAAATCATGGGAGAACCCCTGGTCTCAGATATGTCTTACTACTAGAGTTATCTTCAGCCAGCATCCTTCTAACAGGTTCACAAGTGGGAAGGAAGTTGCCAAGCAACTTGTGTCGGGATAGTTTTTATAACGCTCCCTCCACTTCTCTTTTTCCTGGCCGTGTCCCTGTCTCCTGCCTACCGTTTTGGGGATGAGTCTGGAGCAGTATTTGGTGGGATAATAATTCATTCAGACCTCATGTTTCGGGACCTAGAGACTTCAGTTCATGCCTGTGGCCATTGTAGGCCACCCTCTCATCTCGTTGTTTTCCAGATTTGCCGGTGCATGAAAAGCACTTGAGGGGCTTGCTGGAAGTTTCTCCAGGGCGCTGTCCCAGATATTCAGATTCAGTAGCTCCAGTCCAAAGTCTGCAAACCTGCATTCCAAGTAACTGCCCCAGGTGATTCTTAAGATCCTTTGGAAAGCAGTGTTTGCTTGCTGCTTCAGCCAGTGTTATTATTAAACATCTATTATTTACCTTATTTTATTAGGATACGGAGGTGAGATAGGGGCTCAGCTTCCAGAAGTTTACCTTCCAATAGTTTCCTTCTTTCCCTGAACCTGGGTTTGCATACTTTGGTCACCAACCCCACTCCACAGCACACATCACACATACACCCACACACAACACACATCTCCCTTATTCTCTCTCTGTTTTCCAGAGTCCTATCTCAATAGGAGATTAACCAGCCAAGCTGAGTGTGTTTTAAACAAAGATGCACCTGCTTTTTGGGAAAATTACTGCCTGTTAAGTTGGTAGCCTTTCTTTTCTATTTATCTTTTCCTCATCCTTGATCATTATGTTTCAACCCACATTCTTTTTTAAAACTATGGAGTCCATCTGTCTGCCTTTTGTCTTTCCTGATTTGGCTTTGAAGGCAAGCCTGCTTTCAGGAAAACACTTTTTGGGGAGTGAGGAAGGGGTGTGGTGTGAGAGCAGAGAAAAGTAATGTGGGATCCACAAGATGAAGTTTTAATGATGATAGATGTGGATCTAGAGGAGCCTCATATTATTGGAGGAATTTCATGCAAGCTCCTTCTTACTTTCATGGATGGAATTCAAACCTGATGAAATTGAGTCTCAGTCGGGATATTGAGCTGTAGGTAGTAGAAATGTTAATGCATGGAATGGGGTAATCAGAATGGGAATATGGATTGGAAATGGTGCTTTATCTTGTTCTCATTTCATTGACCAAATCTGGTATTTGCCTGTAATTGGAGTGACTCTCACCTACAGGTATCATTGTTTCCAGAACATGAACTGGTTCTGCTACTCTGATAATTACCATGATGCTTTTAAAATACTTTTCTGTTGGATTTTGTAAAAAAAAAAAAAAAAAGAAAAAGGGGGAGAGAAAGATTATTAGACTCATCACTGGCATCATTTAAACAAAAAGTAAGGCTGGTAATTCTTTAAATACAGATTGAATAACTTTATAACTATTTTACTATCACAGGTGAGCAAAGGACTTTTAAAATAAGTCTCTTCTTACCA